CGTTTCCTTACCTTCAAAACCAGAGTGACTATTAAGCAGCATTGTTGTAGAGGTTTCATGAAACGAAACATGCAGAGCCTAAAAAGGGAGGAACCGAGGCCAGCAGGTGGTACGGTGGTTAAGGTGCTGGACTCCTACACGGCTGACTGCACTTCAAGTCCTGGGCCCAATGGCTTGAAAAATCATGCTGGGAGTGTGTGTGCTTGCCAAAAATCCCAAGAGGAGAATGGAGGACAGGGGATTGCAGTATGGCCATCACCTCTGGAGAATGGAGGACAGGGGATTGCAGTATGGTCAGGACCTTTGGTGGGAGATTTTTCACATTCCCTCTCTCTGTCTCTCTCCAGAGAGCTAATACACCCTATGGCAAAACCTAAAAAAAAGAGACAGGCTGGCCTTCTGTAGACACCAACAAAGGTGAGTGACCATGAGCCACGGAAGTTCCCCTGCAGAAGTTCTGACACCTCACAGCATGTGCCCAGGCTAGGTTTGAACCCTTTCCTCTTGGCTGAGCTTAGAGTCTAGGGACCAGCCACGATTCCATGGCACAGGTGCAGTCACTTCTTCGTCTTGCATCTTAAGATGACAGCTCTCCGGGAAGAAGCAAACCCCTCCCCCGTGCCAAGCCACCAGCAAGTTGTCCAGTCTCACAGGACATTTTCTCTTCCCCACTTTGTGACCAGATGCTTCTGGGAGGATTATTCTGGAACGTGGACAACAGCCACCAGCTTGGGCTGACTTAACACGTCCTGAGAAACAGGACCCCGAAGCAACACCTGAAAGTCTACTACGAGTCAGTCTAAGTTCAAGTTCCTCATCGAGGTTCCAACTCCCAAGGGCCCTCCCTGATCAGAGATGTTTGGTCCATGCCAGAGGAGGCAGGGCTCAGATCCAAGAGACAGAGACCTCCCAGCAGGGTCCTGGGTGGGCAGGGTCACATGAGGAAGGGGTGGCCCTGGGGCCAGGACCAAGTTTAGGGCAAGAGTCAAACTCCTTCGGGCACCCAGACACTTGAGCTTTTGAGACAGGGAGGAGCTGGCAGCTGAAGCACTCAGAGCAGGGGTGTTTGTCAATGGCCTGATTCATCCTCAACAATCCCATTGTCCAAGCCAGCACAGAGATGGCCATTCTCTCCCGGAGTTGTTAGAAGAAAAGCCCCAAGACATGGTCATGAATCAGGGTCCAAAGAGACAGAAGCCAAAACTTAGACATATGGCTTGAAGGCCAGATGAAATATTTGAAAATCCGTGCTATGTGGCACCCCTCCCCCGAAACTCACAGGATGTTACATTGCTGGTTGTTCATTTACTTATTCTGAGCTCCTCTATGAAGGATATGGGAGTTAACAGTTAAAGATGCATATTCTATAAAGTTGCTAATGGCAGAAATTAAAAGTCAACTAACTCATCAATATGCAGTGTATTCGTGATGGGAAAATTCATTTGGTAGGCTGGAATGATACACAGGTATTAAATATAAAAAGTAAATTTTGAAAGTCAACTAACTCACTGTCTTACAAAGTAAAATTGTTAAAGCAGAAATTAAAAGTTCCAGCTAACACAGTTAATAGAACGGACCAATATGTTGGACTAAGAGCTTCCTAGCAGTCAGAATGAGAAGAGAAACACTTCCTTCCCAACCACCTTCACTCTGCAGGAAGCCTGCTGACCTGAAAACAGCCTGCCTTTATGTAACCACCCAAAAGCGTAAGGCCTAGGACCAGACCAAGGGAGAGGTGGATCTCAGCACTTTCCTTACGAGGGCAGTTGGTGGGTGAGAGCTCAGGTACCCTCAGAGCAAGCTTAAACACTAAGGAAGGAGAAGTCAATTCCATCTCCCTAACTTCCAAACTGCGGGGGCACATTTAGTCCGGGCACCTACTGAAGTCGGTCCAGAAGAGAATGGCCAGGATGGGAGAGCTCTAGAAACCATCGTCATCATCACAACAATAATAATAACCACCAGCAGCTGATATTTTAAGATACACACACACTCTCCCAAGCATTTGGGGTGTCCCCAGTGGCCCCCAGGGAAAAGAGATCAAGGAAAAGATGATTCGGTGGAGAAGAGAGAGAACCGCTGGAAGGAGCTGTAGGTGGGAGGCTAAAAGTAGGGTGGGCTGAAACCAAAGAAGGAATGAGCCCCGCTCAGTCCCTGCTCCTCCCCACAGAGTGACTGCCCTGGCCACACTCAGAAGGCTCCCTGCTTTTCTGCGGTAAGGGGAACCAGAGAAAGAACCAGGCCTGGAGCAAACTGCAGGTGCTAAGCTCCACCCCAGCTCCTACCCTGGTCCAGCTAGTCTTGCAAGACTGGCCTTTCCACCTCTAAAGGTGCACGTGCACTTTACAGTGTGGTTGTGTGTTGCACACATGTCATTGCCCGCAGGTGTACATGTCAAACATGTGTGAAGGTTTGCATGGATGTCCTGAGAAGAAGCATGTGGAAGACTAGCATGTGTGGGCAGGAGTGTGTGTATGCATGAATAGCTATGAGCATGTGGGTGTGGGTGTGGCTGTCTGTGAGCCTGCTCATGCCTTCTCTTCCTGCTTCTCCCTGGGGGATAGTGGTGTCCTCCCTGCTGTCTCCCTGGCCCCTGTCCAGCCAGAGGGGGCCAGATGGGGGAGGTGTGAGTCAGAGCCCAATTTTCTCCAGCGTGGACCAAGGGATCTGAGCTCCTCTCCTGCTCCAAGTCCTGAGAAACCAAAGCTGTGTGACCCACAGAGAAGACACCTAGTCTAGGGACAAGTCAGGTCACCCTAGAAATTGCGAGTTCAGATAACATTCGGGTGCCCCAGCCTCAGCTCTCACGGCCTCATTGTCACACACATGCATCATCCACACATGGCCTGGCTCGGCCCTCAGAAGACCTCCCCACACACGCTCTCACACACATACTCACCCACCTGTCCAGATGCCTTCCACCCAGGGCAGCAGGTGCCACACAGACACAGCCACCTGTGGGCACGCTCCAGGGCCACCACTCCTGCTCGCACCCTGGGGCACATGCTAGAAAATTCCACATGTTGACAATCCTACCCCACACACACCCTCCCAAGGCCACATGCTCCCACTCACAAGCACCCACACTGACACTTAAACCTCCTACCCAAAGAGCCACAAACCTGCTCTGTCCCCAAGTAGGCTGGCAGACCCAGCCCCAGCCCTGAATGCAGCCAGCGAGCGTTGTCCACCTCTTTGGTGCAAGCGCGTGAGCAAAACCGTGCGGGAGAGCGAGAGACCAGCGGTGAGGGCGCAGCTGGACTCCAGGGCGGCGCGGAGCGCAGGCTCGCCCGGCCCAGCCCGAGGGGCCGCCGCTGGCGTCAGGCACGGCTGCCTGGAGTCTCAGCTGGGCCGCGAGGGTTATGTCGGGGCCCGGGCAGTGGAAACATCGCACTCCCGTCGGGAGGAGCGCTGGAATCGGGACGCGGTCAGGCCTAATTAGAGACCTGGCTCACCCCAGGCTGGGCGGGAGTCACTGCGGGCAATCGCCAGGAGGGAGCCGCAGAGCCGTCCAGGCGGGGGCGCCCACATGTGCGCCCCGTGCCAACATCTGGAAAGGGAAGGAAATGTGCCCCATCGTTTGTTTCCCTTGGAGCTGAAACAAACAAGGAGGGATTTGGGCGCTGTTCGCACCCTCTGAGCGCGGAGCCGCCTGACTTGGAGCAGCCCCAAACGCCTGGAATGCAACGCGGCTTATTCATCACAGGTGCTTCCCTTTGGAACCCAAGTCACCTACATAAGTCACCCCTCCACACCGTGGGCCTGCCAAAAATGGCAGGGGGCTGTTGCAGAGACCTCTCACTTGGACACATCAGATTTCCCTCTCTGAACTCCGAATCGAATGGCTAAATCTAGGGAAGCCCGATTCCCTTCCCGCCCAAGAGCTCAGGAATGTTGCATTCTTGAAACCTGGAGGTCATTTCATCCAACTCGCCCAGCCCTGCCATCAAGCCCCAGGGGCCTAGAGGGGGTCAGTCCTTGGAGATCACTAAGAAAAGGCAGCCCCGGGCCTCCCCTGACCCCTGTAAAAGCTTGGGTGCTCTCCACGGCAGGGAGCCCTGGGTCTCACCTAAATCCTTTAGGTGCAAACTGGGTCAATTTGCTCCCGCTGTGTGTTCTGGGAGGAGATCTACACCACCTCCATGGGACAATGACCCTCCAAGGTCCCACTTCTACCTTCGGGTCCTCAATGCTAACAGTCCCTGTTTCCTTTTTCAGGCTCTGGTTAAAACGGGCTAGTCCCCAGGCCTTGGACACAGCAGCCCTGACAATAGCTGACCCGCCTCAGCTCTCTGGGGCCAGGACTCACAGGTGGTCAAGTCATTCCCCTCAGACAAGCCAGTTTCCACCCCATCCACCACCCATATGGACAGCCTGACTCTGCACCCCATTTCCTTGGGGGTCCTCCATTCCTGTCTCAATCAGTGCTGCCTCAGGGCTGGACACAGGGCTTTGGGCCTCCCACCAGCCACCTGCTGGGCACTAGCTCAGTACCTACAGGCCTCTTCAAGGGGACAAAGGTTGCAGAATCTTCTCTCTAAGTCTGTTTCTGGTAGGCCAAGTAATCTAATAAAAACAGCCTGGACTTGGTCCTCCAAGAGGCCTGACGTTACACCCTGCCTCTAGGGCTTTCTAGCTGTGTCCTTGGACAAGTCGTGTAAGCCCTCTGAGCCTCATTTTCCTGTGTATGCCACGGGGGTCACATCATTTGTGCCTGGCTTATCAGATTGTTGAAAATATGGAGCAAGATCAGGGATATACAAGTACTTAGAAAGCTAAACTAGTTTCTTAATATGCTAGAAATGGAATGAGCATCAATGTCAGCAAAAAGCCTCAGACATCTTTTATGTCCAAGTCCAAGCACTGTGCCCGGGTATCAGAGCAAGAGAGGGACAGGGCTTGGTTTGCTAGACATCCCCTGGAGACGCTGGCATGAATGCCCCCCTGCATTCCCGGCACACACGCACACGACCACGCGCATCGCCCTTCCAGGTACGTACGGCGCAGCACGGCCTCCCGGACTCCTGGACTCTCCATAGGCCCCCGCCACCTGGGCCCTCGCTGACCACCTCTGCATCCCCAGGAGGCCGTCGCATGGCTCCTGTCTCCCCTGCAGCCACTCCAAGTCACCTTACAGAAGCCCCTGTGAGCAGCTTCTCTCTCCCTGCCCGTCCTTTGGAGCCATGGCTCTGGGAAGGCCTATGACCGAGGCAAAGCGGGCAGAGGACTTCTCCAAAGCAGTTCAGAACTAAGGCCACCCGAGAGAGCTCAGAGTTTGAAGCATCCTCTCCTGTGACCTCGTCCCCGCTACCCGCCTGGCTTCCCAGAGCTGTCCTACTTAATTCTTAATGGAAATTCCATCCCTAGCACCAGCGCTGGTTGGCTCAGGAAATCCAGGCTAGAGCCAACAGCATACTGCACCCCAAGAGAAGGGGCCTGCCTGGCCACGTAAACACACATATGTGATATACATGTGTGCACATACACACACCAGCAGAGAGACATGCCAGAGACATTCACGAACTTGGAGATTCCCATCCAGATACATCTGTACACCAAAAGATAGTGAGTATTCTAATTACTAACATTTTCTGACGGTCCTAAGTACTTCATGGGTATCCACTTCTCTAACGCTCATGGAACTACTAAGTTCTGGATTAGCTGCTTTTACACATGAGGAAGCAAGCACTTCCTTAGAGTAACAAGCTATGTTCTCTTCACAGCCAAACCCATCTACTTCAGTACAGCCACAGGGCAAGTCAGTCAGAACAAGAGCACAGGCTTCTTGGCCCTGGCTGACCCCTGCACCACGTCCTGCCCTCAGACAGGATGCCTGGGTGTGCGAATATGCAACTCTCTAGGACGATGGTTCCCAAAGGTAGCCCAGAACAGCAGTTGTGGCAATATCACACCTGGAATCATACAAGATCATCCCAGGCCTCACCCCAGAACTACTGAATCAGAAACTCTGAGGCTAGGGTCCAGCAAGCTGTGTGTGAACAAGCCCCCCAGGGTGACTCTGATGCCTCCTAACTTTGAGGACCATTGCTCTAGTGGGAAGGGCCAGAGCTTCTGCCTTCTTAACAATGAATTAAAGGCTTAGGGTCAGGAAGAGAAGGCCATGAGCACGCAAGGTCAGCCTGGGTTGGATGAGTCATGTCACCCTCCTTCCCACAACCTCCTGAATCCAGTGCTCCAGTGGCCGTGCATCCTGGACTAAAATGGTCTCCTTCTTTCCTAAGTGTATGGAAAGACTTCAGGAAAGTCTCCTGAACCCCAGCAGTGACATGGCAGAAGAACGCTACTTCTATCACTGTCTTGGTACCGAGTTGAGAGAGTGACCCATGGACTGTCTCTGACCCTTTGGATCCTCAGAGGCTACCTCTGCCTGACCTGAGACAACTTCAGGTGTCCTTCTAGAAGGATATCTGCCAATAGCCTGGCCTCAAAATGTCATGTGGCCTGTCCAGCACCGAGTCCAGTATTTCCTACCTTTCCTGTACTCCATGCCCTCTGGGAGAAAGATGAGGTTGGGGGAAATTGAATAGATGAGGTCTTGGAGAGGGTCAAAGCACTAATAAGACTAGCAACTACTCTGTAAACACATGCTCACTGCTTCCTGTATGCCAGCACAGCCCATCCAAAGTACTTCCCGTGTACTAGCGCATATGTGGCTCTCCGTAATCTAATGATGTAGGCGTTATTAGCTTCCCTGGAGAGGGAAGGACACGGGCTGGGAGAGGTGAAGTAGCTCCTCCCAGCTCACATAGCCAGTGCATGGTGAATCTGAGATTTGAACTCAGGAGGAAGTGTACCTGCAGTCAGAGGAAAATAGGATGGGGGTAGAGAGGTGGGAGGACTGTGCTAAGGTTGGAGCCCAGGGGACTTGTGGGGATTGACGGTGCAGAAGTGAGGGTAGGGCTTTAAGGGATCAGAGAAGGGACAGACTTTCCAATGGGCAGTACAGAAAGGAGCAGACCAGGAATGGCAAAAGGACCCCAGCTATTACTGAAAACATGTTAGAAATGAAACCAGAGAGAGAAATGTACACAGTCCAGACCTAGTGACTCCAGATCTGACCCTGGCGCATAGGCTGATCTCAGAGAGAACAGAATCTGCAGGAAGTGCAATTGGTGTGGGCACCCGGGAGCCCTCCAGGAAGCTCACCCGAGAGCACCCCCAATAGGGCACGGTGATGCTACAATCCTTTTTCCTGTATTTCTTTCCATCCATATTTGGGGCATGCGTGCACCTGTACCCAGAATGTTTTTCAAGCAATCAAGGCCAGGATTGGACCTTCGGTTGGCTGTGTGGGGTCTGGCTCCCTGTGCACAGTGCTTAACCACTGGTCTACAGGGCAAGCACAAAGCAGGTCATTAGATGACACTACTTCCGGCTAGCTGATCAAAACAAAAAGCTGCATCATCTTTGAGTCCTCTTTACCCCACCACCTGCTTCCCGTGCATCCAACCTGTTGGCCGCTCCTGCCTGTTCTGCCTCAGATTGTCTTCCTGACTCCTCCATTCTTTCCTGTCTTCAATGACCCTCTCTGGTCCACGCCATCACCTCAAACCTGGACTCCTTTAGAGTGTCTGACCTCCCTGCCTCCTCTTCTGCCCTGAAACTTCCATTAACCACACAGCAGCCAGAGTCATCTTCCAATCATGTAAATAAGATCTTGTCCTCCCCGAGCCTAAAACTCTTCAACAGCTTTTATTATTGAAGTTGGGATAAAAATTGCAAGCCCTTACTCTGGCTCACACCCTACCTGATTCCTCTCATGTTGGGTCTCAGGTTACATCATCTCTTGGAGAGAGCTCTCCCCTGACCTCTGAAGAATCCTCCCTGTCATTGTCCTGTGAATACTACTTATCACTCCCTGAAATGCCCCTGTGTATTTATTTGTTGAATTAACACTTGCCTCTCCACTCTGCAAGAACAGAGACCACCTCTTCTAGCACAGTGACTGGCAGGTAGTCGGCACGCAATGCATTTCTGTAGGATGGTTCAACCGTGATGGGAGAAGCAGCCCATGTGGCAGAGCAGAAGCTGGAAAAGATGATCAGGACCCAGACACCAAAAGAGAAAAGGAGTCAATGAGAACCCAGTCCTCCAAAAGAAGAGGGCTTGGGTTTCCAGGTTTTCCCTGAGAAGGGCATTCACATCACCGCCTCATGAGACCCAACAGCCTCCCTGCCAGGAGGTCCCATGAGACACTCATACATTCTAACAGCTTTATCCTTATTTCCCTTAAGCTGCCCTAAGTTTTTAATCCCTTTGCTTACAAGTTTAAAAGTCCTCATTTGCATCCCCTCCCCATGTCTTCTCAGCGAGGACAGCAACAAGAGGAGACCCATGAGTCAGTGGTAAGAACGCAGCACAGGGAGTGAGGGTTGTGGGCTTATCTCTTATCTCTGGGACCCTGAGCAAGTGTTTCCTTCTCGAAGTCTCAGCATCTATAGCAACTGAGACCTAGTCTAGCAGGTGGATCTGATGAGGACTCTGAGCCTGTCAAGTAAGGGAAGGGGTATCTCCCAGGAAAAATGCATATTCTATACATTTCCATGTCCCAGGCAGCTCCCATCAGGTGGGGTTTGGAAGACAATTTAATGAAGGGCTATTTATTTATTTATTTTTGGAGAAGTTTTTGCTATAGGACGTGTGCGCTTGCCAGACAGACAGAGAGAGACAGAGAGACAGAAAGCGAGAAATCACCTCCCAGGGGGGATGGTCATGCCGCAATCCTTTCTTCTCCATTCTCCTCTCGGGATCTTGGGCACACACGCACACGCGCCTGGCATGAATTTTAAGCCACAGGGTCTGGGACTCAAATCACGGTTGACTACATGGGAGTCCAGTGACACAGCCATTACGCTAACTGCTGGTCCCTGAAGGGCTATTTACGATTGGGGTTAAGAGAATAACAAGTGGTTTAAGGCCACCAGGGACTGACCTGTGAGAAGCCATGACCACTTCTAAGTCTAAAGGGAAGGGGGAAGGGTTTCCTGGTGTTCTGGGAGGGTACTGAGCAGGAACTGTAATCCTAAACCATGGCTCCAAAGAGGGTTCCTGGGGGAGGAATTCCCTGCCCTCTCTCTGCTCCTCCCTCTCATCTCCAGCCAGTACCTCCATTGGCTAAATCCAGCCAGAGAATAAAGGCGCCCAAGTGAAATGGTCTGAGACCAGGTCCTCGGAACTAGAGCAGAGAGGAGTAGAGAAGCTATGGGGAAGGGTGCCTGGTATAGACGGTTTCTACCAGAACCCAGAGGCAAACCATGACCTGCAAACTCTAAATCCCCACAACTCCCCTCCTTTAAGTCTCCCTATAGAGGCGTTGAATTCTCCAGAGAACCTCTACACTGCCATCATGGCCTTGATAGGCCCAGATTCATAGTCCTTGGTGAGGGGACTGCCACAGACAGAGGCAAGAGCGTCATCTCTGTTATCAGCACACACAACAGCTGCAACGGGAGCTCCCAGGAAAGTTCCACCAGGAGATGAAAAATCTCACAGTCTAAATAATTGAAAAGCCTTAATGCCAACCCAGATACATTATTGAGAATGGTTGGATAATTGCTCAGAAAGGATCTTTCTGATAGAAATCATACCCAGCCCAGGACATTGTAAAAAGATCAAAAACAAAAAAACAAAAAACAAAAAACAAAACAAAACAAAAAACTGAAAGAAAAGAGAAAAAGAAAGACTTTTTTTAAATTATGTATTTCATTTTATCATTATTATTATTTTTTAATTTGCTATAGGACACGTGGGCTCACTGGTGGGGACGGGGGTACTGGAGGGTCAGGAAGGGAGAAAGCAAGCCACAAGATCTGGGACTTATAACACAGTGTCGGCCATGTGGGAGCCCTGCACCTTAACCACCACACCATCTATTGGCTCCTGATTCTGCTTTTAATTCTCTAAAATTAACACTACCCATGTTTTCAATGCCTGGCCTCCAGAACCGTCCATACACAAGCCTTGTAGAATGGGGTGGGAAAAAGAGATACAGAGAGAGAGGCTTCAGTCCAGAAAACTAAGACCCTTCTAAGAGGAAGAGCATTCCCAAAGAGCGTGCTGCCTCAGAACACAGCGA